TCACACCGAGGAGTTTCGCCGAGCCTTCTTGGGGAGAATAAGTATAAAATAATGAGAAGGCGAGAAACGTTTCATAGTAGCATTTATCTACGGTATACAATACTATTACTATAAAATAGTTTTTATAAATAAAATACTTATGGCATAGCAGGTCTAGGCATTTTTCATTATAATATTTAATAAGAGTTCTGAAAACAATAACAACTAGGTAAGTTAAATTCGTTGGTCTTATTTGTTATTTAAACTTACAACAACAAATCTCAATAATATTTTTATATTATATGTGGTGAATGAATGAATAGAGTTTATTAATCAGTAATTATAATAAAAAATCTAATACCATATCAAATATATTAGATACTCGTACAAAATAACGTGACTTCTGGTTAGAATGACGTTTGTGCAAAGAACAATATGCAAATAAGCTGTCCCTTCAAAATTAAGATATTTTTTTTAAATAACATCAGTTACTAAATCTTATATTCATAATTGAATTATGTTAATAAAAATTCAACAATCAAAAAGAAATGAACAGTAAGGTTATAAAGAACAATGCCCATCTGCCTAACATGCTTGGACTAGTAAAATCGAATAAAACGTAACATGATGAAACATATGTTTTTTGTTTGCCTATGCAACTAAAACAAAGAAAGATATTAAATATATTTTTAAAAGCTGGGAGTATCGAGTAATATATTTTTGAGGTTATGTCGTGTTATTTAAACTGTAGTATTTTCAGTTACCGGTATTACAGTTGAAATATGTAAAGCACACGTCAGATAATGCCTAATCGCAGTCCCAGAAGTGCATACTTTCACATAATACTTCAAACTTGCTCCATATTTGATATATTATTTTTATTGACTGCAAGAAATTATATATTTTTTTGGAAACCAATAAACATCAATAAAAACAATAGAATTTTTAAGATTGCTCTCAATAACTTTACTTTTCTATCTTACACTATAACTTATATAAAGTAGTAGTAAAAATACTAATTTCAAAAGGATATAACAAATCAACATGTTGATTTTTCTTTTCTTTATTACAACTCTAATGAATACCTCATCACGGAATGCTGCAGGAGCAGCTACATTCTGTTCGTGTCTGGCCCATCCAGGAAACCAAACTATGGTCATAAAATGAGCACATCATCCCAGTGTAAATCGACCAATAAGACAATTACAGCAGTGTTCTCTTATGCCATCTAACCGGATGTGTCATTATTTTTTTTAAATGTACACATAATATTGTTTTCTCCCAATGTCTCGACTTAATTCTACCCCTTATAATTAGGACTTTATTTATATTTAAGTCTATATCTTATAAATCCAGAGAATCCGGTATTTCTCTCCAGACCTTTATACTGCTCCTGGAACCTAGTGTGCTCCCCATAATACAGAAGATAATACAAAATCACCGCCAAAGTTACAAAACGGTCTGCGTAGAAACACGTCTACACATACTTGTCTAAAAATGGGAGTCGCAATCGATTGAATACTGTAATATCGATTCTTATGAAGAATCATTTGTTTTTAATTTTATTATAAATAAACTATTTAAATAAAGTATATTAGTAATCTAATCTAAGTTTTATAATTTTCAAGGATTTATATGGTTAGTAAATAAGATTTGTATCAAATTCGATTAGTCAGAAATAAAATAGATATTGTTCTTTGAAAAGACAGGGACTTCTCTAGGAATGACATTATTAATAAGATGCGTTCAAAAATAACATAATTTAAACTGCGTTCTCAAAATAAAGACATATTTTAGAGAGGATTATCTTTCTATTCCCAGCTTTTAAAAAATATTGTTGGTATATAATAAATACATTCAACTTATATTACATTTGGGTGATAGTTCCATCTTGGTACAAGAACTTTTTTTCGTAGTCCATTTTGACCATTGTTCTTTAAATTTCAAAAACACAAAGACACGTACAGTTATTTATTACATATATTATCGCTACTCGACTTGCATGTGGCGACGGACGGCGAGCCAGGTGTTACATTAATTCTTACCATGGGTATGTGCTTTTTTGGTTCTTACTATAATATTGTCAATAATCGATTGATTTCCTACTCAACGTACTCTAGAATCAGTTTTATTGAAATAGTATATTACTTATTAGTACCTAGAGTAGTCACGCTCTCGTAAATATCGCAGTGGTGTCATGTGCGTTAGATGGTTACGTTCCCTAAAATAATGGGTGACTCATAAGTCAAGCTTGTCAACGGGTCAGTGGGGATGAGTCTGTATTGGACTACATAATTTCGTCCATTTTATTTTATTATGAATATTCTATATCGATTTGTCAATGAGTATGTATGATTCGGCAAACGGTATATTAATCAGTAATCAAAAAATATCTGTCTTGTTATTTCTGATATTGTAATGGAAAGTGACTTCAATTCATAGTACAATTAAGTCACATTCCAATAAGACTTCTCTGTGTGAAATAAAGCAGAGAGAAAAAAGCAGCCCTTGCTGAATTTCTTCATTGGTTCTTCTCAGTACAAGGTCTCCCGCTGTAGTTTTGCGAACGTTGGGGTAGTTTTCGATTTTCACAAGTACTATGTAACAGCTTAGACTGAATTGATTTTGTTATTTGTATTAATATCATTTGAAGCGGAGAATTCAGCTTGTTTTTTATGTCACAATAAAAAACAAGCCTAATTGAGGGGTAAAAAAGCAAAGGCGCTTCAGTCACAAAAATACCTAGACTGAAAAACCGCAAATTTCCACTGTGTCGTAATAAATTGTATTTTTTATCAGAATCCGATGTTGGTACATTCAATAGAATACATTAATCAAATAACAATAATCAAAACAAATAAAATATACATAAATTCTTTATAATTTAAGAAATAATGTAGGACTGAGGTGTTTTTGCATTTAAGCGTTGGACTAAAGCATGTTTGCTTTTCATTGCTTTGGATCGAAGCGAATTTGCATGTCACTATTTAATTCGTCAAATGTCAATAAATGGCGGTACCGATTGCAAAATAAAACAATGTTTTACAAGATTATGAATTTAATTAATTTTGTTAAAAACAGGACATCATATTGTATTATAATTATTAATGAAAAGTAAAGATAAAATATTATTCTTGCGCATGTAAAAAAAGTAAAAAGAAACTAAGAATTAAATCATAATATTTAAATCCGCTGTGGCTGGATCGCAGATAAGCTCATCCTCTTGAATTGAATGACTGTTATTATTATTCAAAATATTATTGTAATATTGGAGTTCATTAGGATTTTCCCACTGCGGTCCATAGTGTTTCTCTAACAATTTCCTCACATCTTTTTTTTTCTCTGCTTTTAATGCCACATTATTTTTTGGAAGTGGAACTTATATTTTTGCAGTCGTAAATATTTTTTTTGTTGTGCTGACATGCAGGTAGTTGTGGGAGATCTTTAGCAGAGTACCTTAAGCAAATGAAAATAAAACCCATTACCAAAAGCAGAAAAAAACTGTTCAGTATAGCGCGAATAAAATGTTAGTACGTTACGTGCTTTTACAATTCACTTAAAGAAAATTGAAATAAAATTTAGAAGAAGCATTCTATGCAAACCCTACTTTACCTTTTCATAACGGCCAAAATATTAGTAAATTGTTTGTTACCTTTCTGCTTTTTCCTTCACTCTTCTCCACTGACTTTTATTTACCAGACGTTTCCGTGCTCGTCCTGCACGTGCTGGTGTAATGTTTTTTTTCCATTACAATAAGTTATTTAATAAAAAACACAAATTAAACACGCGCTATGCTCAGTCAACTTACTATGAAAAGTAACTAATTCGCCATCTTAGAAATTTTGAAATGGCTGCTTCTGGTTGGTTGATTGTGATCGAGGCGGATTTGCTCCTAACAAATTTTGGATCGAAGCGGTTTTGCATCTAAACGCTACTTTCTAAGTGAAATTTATGTAAGATTGAGGTGGATTTGCATAGTGCCGATTATAATATATTTTTGCATTTTTTTATCGCTACAATTTTGTGTGCTCAGTGTAAAAAACAACATTTTTGGACTGAAGCGCTTTTGCTTCTATACCCCTCAATTCTGCGCTCCGCTTTTTGTTCTTCATTCCAACCCTAGATTTGGATGAATTTAGTCAATTGAATTACAAGCAACCAATGAGTTGGCTCCATAGAATTAATAAGTACTAGTTGTACGTAGTACCTATTAATTCTATGGTTGGCTCATCACTAATGTTGACATATAAACTAAAGATTGCTCCTTTAAACGTAACACGATAAATTAAGTTATTTATCGTGTTATGATTCAAATAAATGAAAATTAATTTAAAAATCAGATATTATATGAAACACGGAACGACATCATATTTATTAATTTTTGATACTTAATTTACTTTTATTACGTCAGAAAGAAAATTTGAATAATTAGCACTCAATAATTACAAAATAATAAGTGATTTATAAAGACTTCTATTTAATTTGTAGTGCGACGATGTTGAATGAGGAAGTATTTAAAAAAGAAAACATTAGTTCCCGAAATCAAACTAGATGTCGCTATTTTGAGGTCACATACGTTACTAGTATAAAAATATACTCTATGTAAGCGTTCCTGTTTAGAATGAGGAAGTATTTTAAAAAAACGAATGCAATAAAAAAGACACCTCCACTAGATGGCGACTCTATCAAAATGTGATTTTTGCAGGAAACGAATGGACCAAAGACAGTCATTTCTGTTCCTTTCAACAAACATATTAAAAAATTTAAATTTGAAAGTTCGAAACTTAGATATCAATATAAATACGAAAAAGTACAAATAGAATATGAGTTGTTTATTGAGTTTTGAGAACTAATTTACTTTTAAATTTGAATAAAATCGGAAAGATTGTCATGGAGAAATCAAGAACCTACCGTAGTGACATCTAGTTTGATTTCGGGAACAATTTTTTTTTAATACTTTTTCACTTGATACCATTGAGTACATTTGCTTGTTATATTTTTTAAGGTTATGTTCATGTTGATATCGAATTGAAATAGTTAAAAATGAAATATGAATTAAAATTATGGTATTAAACATACCGTTTTGACTTTCTTCTTGAGCGTAAAGTGATGTTTTGTGTTAATTCAGTAAATTAAGAAATAAATGCTTTTCATTGCACTTGAAAATGACTAACCATCCTCGGATTATACCTAATTTGTTAGTAACAGGTAATAACAATGAAGAAAGTTAAAATAAAAGTTTCTTGTCCGTACAAATAAACTTGGTTTTATCCTCTCAATAACCTTTTTCATTTGATAAGTTATACAACAATTTTCTTTCTGTTTTATTTACCCCAAATGAGGTCCTTATCTTTGGTATTGAAATTATGATGGTTATAATTTTGCCATCCTAATATTAATTTACAGGGACACCTGGAGTGGGAAAGTCTTCAATCAGTCGATTGTTATCAGAAAGAACAAACTTTACTTGGCGGGAGGTGTCAAAACTTGCTGAGGAACATAACTGTCTTGATGAATATGACCCTGAGTATCAATGCCCATTTTTAAATGAAGATAAGGTAGGATTCTTCTGTAATGATTACACCAATAAGTCTGCTTTTATCTGTACATTGTTTATGGATGAGCACATTTTATAAGACATTGTAAATACATGTATTACATTGTTGAACTCAGTAGAGATAGTTTCATTGCAGATAATAGTTACAATATTGATTGGGCTTTTGGATTTGTAGGGACACATATGCCTACGGAGCCTCGGTGGCGCTAGTGTCATGCATAACATTGGCTCTGTGATTTGATATAATTTAAAATTCTAATTCATAAAAATTAAGAGTTATATTTGGGAAAAAAATAAATATCAGTGTGTAATAAATCAGGATAAATGTTATCTATGCAAAAGTCAAAGGATAAATAGTGCTATGAAGGTCCAATAGTGATAACTGAAAATTGGTGATATATTTCAAGCTACGGAAGAAATCATTGGGAATTTATTTCATACATTTCAACGTTTTCTTTAAATCTGTCAAAATCAACAAAGCGATAACTAATTGTGATTCAAACATTCGACACGTAGTTTAACTGTCAGTTGGTCTAATAATAAAATAGCCACTGTTGAACCTAAGGTCCGCAGATCGAATCTCTACCACTATAGATTTTTTGGAATATTTATTTGCTTCGAACATGAGTCCTCAAAATAAATCTGTTTCCAAAATGATGCAATTAGTAACGTGTGCGAAGTGCAAAAATAAAACGAAAATTAAAGACACTTTAACATGCTCAAAATGTAAAAAGATATACGAGTTTGAATGCGCTGGAATATCGGAAAAGTTGTACAAACTTATGGATTTTGATAAAAGAACATCGATAAAGTGTAATCATTGTATTACAAATGTTACCAGTAAAACTGAACACGCGAATTCGCACATTACATTAAGAAAAAAACTGCCCAAACAAGTCAAGCGAGATGAGATATTAAATAATATACTAGTGAAAACGCCAACTACACCCACTACTTCATACGCTGGCCGAGAATCGTCAGAAATTGACTCGCATATTCTCACCGACGATGACACTTTTAGTGAGTCTTGTGACTTGAATACAAAATTGTCACGAAGTTTTGAAATTTTTGAACATTCAAATGACACAATAGAGGAATTAAATAAAGTAATTGACCAACTAAAAACTGACTTAGCGAGTACTCAAAATGAACTTGAAAATATTATCATAGAAAATGGTGAACTTAAGAAACAAACTAATAAGCTAACTAAAGAAATATATATTTTGAAAAATATTTGTTGTTCACCAGGAGAAGACAGCAGGAACTTAGACAAAATCAATAAAAGCTATTGTAGATCTGAAAAAAACAATAACTCGCAATTAAAAACGAATATTGAATTCCTGACATATAATACGCCGCCTCAATCGAGGCAACTGACGACAACGTCTTTGAAGCTGAAAATATTACATCTCCAAGAACAATTAGATAATAGTAGGAAGGAAATACTAGAACTTAAAGAAAAACTAAATATACTTGTTGATCAAAAGTTGAATGCAGATACGACAAAATACGAAATAAATGACGAACTATCTGTTGACCCTATGGATAGTAATGTGCAAACCGATATTACATTGCAAAATTCTGAACCAAGAAACAGAATATACATATATGGTGCACGGCAATGTGTTGGCCTTGCAACGGTATTGCGAAACATGAGAGTTAATACAAAATATGAAAACTATCAAGTATTCGCCAATCTAAAACCGAATGCGTTGACAAGAAATATTTTAAGCGATACACAAAAATCTCAACTGCGGGAAAATGACAAGATTGTTATATGTATAGGTGAACACGACCACAACGTACATAGTGTATTGGCGGAAATTGAGAAGTATCTTAATAATTATCAAAAAATACCAGTTATAGTTCTAAAAGTACTACAAAGTGACACGATCAATGTTTCTATACTGAATCACAGGATTGAAAATATTTGTAAAATCTATTCAAATAGCTATTTCATAAATCTACCGTATAAATGTTCTCTAATTGACATAGGCAATAAAATTAACTATATCGTTGACTGCTTAGATTATGAAAGGAAATTCTTAGACTATAAACAACTAAAAAAATTGATAATGCGCAACAAATCAAATGCAAACCCGAACCGCTTTACAAACGAATACCAAAAAGGAACAATACCTTATTACTTTAAAATGCAATTAATTAAAAAATTAGACAAAGATATTTTAGCACCACAAAAAAATACTAAATGCGAACATAAAAAGGGTACAATACCTTATTACTTTAAGTCGCAATTAATAAATAGAAATAGCTCCGCACTACCCATAAGTAATACTATTTCAGAGAACAAAACTAGTGTTAGTTCAATGTTTTTTCGAAAAACGATTAAATAGTAAAAATCGGACTTATTTTACAATTTTTCATCAAAATATCGCTAGTGTACTATCAAAAATTGAAATGTTAGAGTTGACGTTATTGGAACTTGCTGAAAATGGAAATGAACCAGATATAATCTGCCTTTCTGAGACTTTTGTTATGAGAGGTTATGAAAATTACTTAAAAATTCATAATTATATTACTGCTTCATGTTACTGTAGAGAAGGAAAAAAACGGGGAGGTACTTGTATATTAGTGAAAAATAACTTGGATTTCATAGATATGCATTTTTTGGACAGTTTTTCACTCTCTAAATTATTTGAATGTTGTGGTGTAGAGTTACCATCAAAAAATATCATTATATTATGCATCTATAGGACTCCCAAAAGTGACCCTTTTTTATTTTTGGAGAAATTGGAGTGTCTACTTAATACCATTCAAAAAAAATATAAACGAAATAAAAACATAATTATAGTTGGTGATTTCAACATAAACACTTTAAAACCAGGCAAAATTACAAATCAGTTAAACGATCTAGCACTTAACTTTAATTTAACAGTTCATATTAAAGAACCAACTCGGAAAACGTCTTGCTTGGATCATATTTTAAGTAACATAAAAAACGCCACATCCTCTGTGCTTAAGTTGTATCTGTCTGATCATGAAACGGCACAGATTTTGAGATTTCCAATTAAATTGAAGCAAAGCATTAAATCTTATTTCATATTTAGAAGGGATTACAGTAGTGAAAATATACAAAAGTTTAATCAATGCATAGAAAAGCTCTCTTTTACGGATGTTTTTGCGGAGAGTGATATAAATAAAGCATTTCAAAAATTTCAGGATCTGTATGGTTTATTTTATAATCTCTGCTTCCCTAAAATAAGAATTAAAATTAACAATTACCACAAAAAGCAAGAATGGATTAGTAAAGGATCAATAATTAGCTGTAAAACTAAAAGGTTGCTGAGATATAACTATTACAGACATAAAACAGTTGCTAATAAAGAAAAATATGTAAAGTATTCTTGTATTCTTAAAAAGTGTATATCCCACTTAAAAAAAAGCTGCAATATTAGATTTATCAATAAAAGTAAAAATACCTGCAAAGCATCCTGGACTGTTATAAATAATGAAATTGGTAATTTAAAAAATAATCTTACTAGTATCGATTGCATCAGTCATGAAAACCAATTGATCACGGATCCAGTGGAAATTGCTACAATTTTTAACAATTATTTCATCGATATTACAAATAATAACTATGAGAATAAAGTAGGCACACATAAGGACAAAATATATAAAATGAATTCATATTCAATGTTTGTGATGCCAATGTCTGACACTGAAGTAAAGAAACAAGTCATGTCTTTAAATAATACTAATGCTGAGGGTCATGATGAAATATCTACAAAAATAATAAAAGCTAGCATAGACAAATTTATTAGTGTTCTTACTTTCTTAATCAATTTATCTTTTTCTACGGGGATATATCCAGATATATTAAAATTGTCTATAATTAGGCCACTTTTTAAAAAAGGGGAAAAGTCTGATATTAGGAACTACCGTCCTATTACACTAGTCTCAATACTATCTAAGATTTTTGAAAAATGTATGTTGAGTCGATTGTCGGACTTTTGCGATAAATTTAATATAATTCGACCTGAACAGTATGGGTTCCAAAAAAATCAATCAACAACTACTGCTATTTTCACACTCGTAAAATCGATATTAAAAGGTATAAATAAACAATTGGCCACAACGACAGTCTTTTTTGATTTGAGCAAGGCTTTTGATTTTGTTCAGCACAACACGCTTTTAAATAGGCTTGAATCCGCAGGAATTAGGGGTCTTCCTTTGGATTGGATTTGCTCTTATCTAAAGGATCGTTATCAAAGTGTAGTAATTACAAAACTTAACCAAAAAAATGAAATAGTATCATTCACTTCAGAATATAGATGCAATGAATGTGGTGTGCCACAAGGAAGCGTATTAGGACCATTTTTGTTTTTAATTTATATAAATTCTCTCCCAGAAGTAACAAACCACAGTTGTGTCCTATTTGCCGATGACATTTCCATTACAGTAAGGTCAAGTGATAAAATTGGTAATATTAATGTTAAAGATCATGAAATTGACATCAATAACGCAGTAAAAGCTATCGGTGGATGGTTAGAAGATAATAATTTACAAATGAATTTAACAAAGACAAATTTTATTAATTTTAATACTAATCTCACATCTAAATTAATTATCAAATATAAAAATTCAAAAATTAATGAAATAACGGAAACGAAATTTCTTGGCATAAATATTGATAAATATCTAAGTTGGAATAGTCATGTTGAAAATGTCTGTCACAGAATAAATAGGTTTGTTTATGTGCTAAAACGTCTCAGAAACATTACGAATAGAAATGTGGTGTTGTCAGTTTATCATGCGTACATTGTATCCATTATGCGGTATGGTCTCATTATATGGGGTAATAGTTCTAAGCTTGAAAGAGCTTTTATTGCACAAAAAAAGTGCATAAGAGCAATAACTTATAAATCGCCACGGGATTCATGTAAACCATTATTTAGGGAGCTTGGTTTATTGCCATTACCATCACTATATATTTATGAAGCATGTGTTTTCGTTAAGTCAAATCCTGATTTGTTTTGT